GCGGGCCTCCGCTCGCTCCTCCGGAGCTGCCGCGGCGCGGCCCGGGGCTCGCAGCGGCGTGCGCCGCTGCCGAGAGGGGACGTGCGCGCCCTGCACGACAGGGTGCCCCCGCGGGCGCTCCGCTGCCAGCCTGGGGCCGGGCCCGTTATACCGAGGGAGCCGATCGCCTTTGGGCCACGGCAGCGCCTCGGGCCTGGACAGCTGGTGGCCCCTGGGAGGTTCCTGGGGCAGGGGGGCGGTCTTGGCTCTGTTCCTAGAACTCTCCTGTTCTGTTCTTTACCTGTCTCGGGATCAAAACTCTGTGTTCCGCCTGGATTGAGATCTGCTGTGGCATAAACAATGCTTGCTGGTTTGCGAAGGCCTGCAGTTCACATAAGTCATGAATGAGCTGCTGTGGTCTGGTGATCTTGCTTGAGTACTTGCTTAATGCAACTTAGGCTAAGCACCAGCAATTTCTGAACAGAGCCACTAACTTCCAGAAGAAGAGCTGAACTTGATTAAAGTCGCAGTGATGGAGATTAAGTTATTCTTAAACTCTTTCAGTGGTTAATTAGTGTTTGCTTCCCGCACAGCATCATTTACTGTGAGCTCTAAGGTTGAATAATTGTTAGGTCGCTGGGTTGGAGAGCCATCCCTGTTGAATCTGAAGAGATTATGGTTTCTAAAATAAAAATAAAAAAAAAATCTGTTTTACAAGCTAGTTTAACCACACCTCTGCTGATACAGCCACTGCGTTTGAATGGTGAGTGGCAAAACTGGATGCCAAATGAGACAAAAAATCCTACTGCTGCGTTACAGTTAAGTGATATTACCCTTCACAGTCTTCCATTTTACATCCACAGGTTGTGTACTTTGCCATATCGTTCTGGGAGAATGTTTAGCTCATTGCTTACCAAAACAAAAGGAGGAGTTTATTTGTTAGGTTTCAAAACTCCTGCTTCTCAAACTGAAGGATGCTGCTGCTGTTGCATACTGCTATGTATGTCCCAAGTTAAGCATAATGTTAAGATCTGTGACCTCACCTTTACATGAGGTCTTTATAATGTCTGTGACTTGCTCCATGTTTCAGGTTTTGCTAAAACTGTTTCCACTGGCATTCATTGCATCAGCACGTTGAAACAAATATTCAGCTAACACTTAGTAGAGGTTGTCAAGATGATCAATATATGTAGATGTCCAGTCACCTGGATTAGATTGGTACAGATAAAGCTTTAGAGGTACTTGATCAGTGGAGTTCGATGGAAGACAGTTCTGTTACCTAAAAAAACCAAACAAACCCTAAATTCTGTCCCACAAAAATGTAGATCTCTTTAGGTCTTTGTGCTGTCTTTGAATGGTAGTCTCGTTTTAGAACACTGTGATAGATAGTACAGATAAAAATGAAAAAGATCTGTCTTGTGTTGCCCTCAGTTTGGGACATTTCTGATTGTCATGACTGTACACCAAGAGATACAGTGGAAAACGTGAAATTGCAAATCTGTTATGCAGCAACTTCAATGGAGTATGAATTTGTGATGTCATTGTGCAGTCAAACCACTGTGGTTAGGATGTAATTTTACATCTTGGTTTCTCCTTCTGACTGGGCATGTTTGTGAATGTTGCACAGTTTGAGTGATAAAACTTAAAAATAACTTAAGGTCTGCCCCTAAGTGAAATTTAAGGAGCTCAACTTAATTTTGTATTAGCATCTTGGAGGGAACCACTGGTATCTTGTTGTAAGCTTATTAAACTACAGCAGAGCATGCCTAGAGAGAAGCTAAATTTAACTGGGCTTAAATACGACCTTGGGAAGCAGTTGCAATGAGGGTAGCTTAAATGTTTTGGGGTAGCAATGGATTTGCCATCCTGTGTGTACATGTGTGGCATGGTCCTGAAAGGTGCTCTGTTTTGCTGTGGAAGTTACCAAGGCTGTTGGGACACAACAAACTGTGAACCAGATCAGTAGTTTTCCTATGCTTTGAGCTGTCTGGATGCTACATTTTACTACATGTGAACTTGTGCTGCCACATGCAGCTTTCCAGTAGCTCTTCTTGAGAGTGATGTCGGATGGCACAATTTCCTTGAAGATCCCTATTTTTGAGCAGGGGAGTAAGATTACTGTCCAGGGTAACACAGCAAAGAAACTCATGAAGCCTAAATAGTGGGTTGATTCTGCAACTTTATATTGTACAAGTGTGAATGCTTTACATATTCACCTTAGGAAAAACACGTCTGTTGGGGAGCTCAATATGTACCCAAACAGCCAACTAGAATGAACGATGTGTGTGTGTTTGAGGGTGTACTATCATAAATATGAAGAACAGTTATCAGTGAAGCAGGGGTTGTAGGACATCAGAGCATCCCATGTGCCAATACCCAGAACCTGTTGGCTTGCTGAAATTATTGAAGGTGACACAGTTGAGGACTGTCAATTGCAATCAGGTATGTTTAAGAAGAGGTGGAAGTTGTTGGTTTTTTTTTTCTTTAATGGAGACTTAAAGCTGTAGTAACAGGTCAGGCAACTTGGACATGTTTAAATTGGTTCTGAGCAAAAAATTGATGCTTCAGAAGAAATGCAGCTAAGCAGGTATTCCAGCATTGCAGGACATGAGAATCTATGCAGTGTTGAGGACCTAGGCTGGTCTGTAGATTACACAGTAGGTGGATGTGTGTGGCCTCTGCTCTTCCCCCACTTGCCAATTAGATGTGTTACTGTTGTCAAAGGAAAGAGGATAGAATAAAGTGTAAGTGGATGTGTGTTAACCAGACTTAAAATGTTTGAATACACTCTTCAGGTAATTAGACTGTAAGGTAGTATTTGCTTATAAAATTGTTACTTGACTGTTCGTTAAGCATGTAGATTATTTAATTCTGACAAGTTAAAAATTATCTAATTTTATCTTGTATATAGACTGCCAGAAAAAGTCTGTAGTGGACTATTAAAACTTATATTGCTTGTGAAATAGCAGAAGGGCTTTTAAGAGCCATTGTAATAACAGTTACTGTGTTTTGCTTGTTTGTCAGTATGCTAATACTAATAGCATAATAATGTTCAAAACTACATATCTTTAAAGTTCAAGCTCTTAATAAGGCTCTTGCCTTGAATCTGTCTTATACACCAAAGCCATCATTGCTCATCTCTTTGGGGAGAAGTTTCTGATAAATCGCTGCTCAACAAATTGCTAATACAGCTGTAGGACTTTGATCTCAATGCTAGGATTGCACTCAAGCAAGGGTAAAGTGTTTTCTAGTAAGTTTAATTAATCTTAGGAAATATTCTACCATGTTTTATGGTTTACACAGACTTGATAGTTTGTGATCTAAGTCTGTGTCAAAAATTGAGTACTAAATTTGCCTTTTTAAATAGATTGGTTTTAATGGATGTATTTTTATAAAAGTGCAGAGCTTTGTATGTTTGTTCTTCTATTTCTGTAGTCACTATAATGATAGCATTACAGTTGGGTTTACTAAACAGATGATTTTATGATAGTCATCAGTTGAGTATCTCTAGGCATTACAGCTTGACAGCCTTAATGCTTCTAATGCCATATATAATTTGAGTTATATTATCAAATCCTTCATTAATCTGTTAGAGAAGCACTTAGACCAGTTAGTTTCTAGTCATTCATAGCTTCTGTTAATGATCTTTGTGCTGTGTTTAAGGATGACTTCTGTAAACTTCCAGTCTTCCCTTCCCACACCCTCCTTATGTCTTTGTTAATATTGTGTGGGTTTTTGGAAAGTTTGTAACTTTCATTCACCTAGGCATTATATTACTGATACTGAGTTCTGAGAGAATAATTTACAAAACGGTCTTGATTTTTACTGATTCTTAGGTGGTATTTTTTATAGATTTTTTCTTTCTTAAATGTCACACATGATTGTGCCAGTCTAGTGGATATCTGCATATTTATTTTTTTTACCCTAGGACTTATATTGTATAGTTAGATCACTGACATAACACCAGATAGTCCACAAAATAGTGTGTAGCTGGCTACTTATTTCTGGCTGTGTTGGAAGTTAGGCTTCGTTTTAGAAGCTTCTGACCATTATAATGACTGCACTTGGCTTTGTAAGCTCATTGTAGGGTCTGTTCAGTAGTGTCCTCCTTCCAGTCATAATCTGATGTGATCATGTGTTTGTTTAAGTTGTTAAAATAAATTGGTTACGAGTCCCAACTTGAAGTGAAGTAATTTGAAGCCTGGTATGACCTGATCATCGTCTTAGGACAAGTTGGCTTGTATTGAATTATAGGGTGGGGCACTCTGAGCTTTTTTTTCATACAGTCTTGGCCCTAAGGGTTCCACAAAGTATAGTCTTTTTCATTGTTTTTTGTTTTCTTCGCAGCTGGCCTTAATCAAGATTGGTACCTTGTTTGGTCTAGGGAGGGTGCAACATGAGAGAGGGATTGTAACTGGTAAGAACACAAGCATAACTGGTCTGGAGTTGTAGGAGGGCATGCATACAGAGAAGGGATGGTGCTTGTGAAGCAAGCTGCTAATAGAGCTAAGGTGTCCTTAGCTCAGTGCCCTGCCTTGCTCTCAATATTACTTTATAACCTGTAGGAAAATAACATGGTAGTGTAGTGAAGTTTTAAAATGGTTGGGAGATACTACTGTCATCCCTATGCTGATTTTTGAAACTTATTTTGATTTCTCTTAAAACTAGCTAGATTTTACATTGCTTCTTCAGTACGGTGTTGGGATAATGTAGGATTGCTATGGTCAAGTAGTAAAATCTAAGGTAATTTTGCATTTGAAAAATGACTACATAACGGTCTGATCTGGGTTTTGTGTTCTCTTCATGTTTGTTGTATGGGTAATGCATATATCTTTCAAATACTACAGCTGGAATAATGTTCTTAACCTTGAACACCTTACCTATTTTTCTGCATTCTCACTAGTAATAAAGATTCCAGTGTTACACACGTGGTTCTGTCTCTGGCAGTTGTACAAAAGAAGCTGAGTGCAGAACTTCTCCCTGGGTTTTTAACTTAACAGTTCACATTTCTGCCGATTGCGTCTAGCTTGCTCCCCAGTAGAAATTCTGATAACTTTATCAAGGGAGAACTTCTGTTGACGAGAAAAGCTACCATTTTTAAATTTCCCTCTGAGTAAAAACTTCTCAGCTTCCACTATTCTTCCACTGTATATGCTTGATATTGCATATTGATACTTGTTTTTTAGACACAAGTACATTATGAGAACTTCTAATGATAACTCATTTTCTTTCAGACACTACTTCAGTATGCTGGCAGTCGGGGTGCATCGGAACATATTTTACCTTTTTTGGAAGTATATCGAATCTCCATCCAAAGCTTTGCTAATGCACGACCTTACTTGACTACAGAATGTGAAGATGTTCTTTTGGTACTTGGCAGGCTAGTGCTGTAAGTTTTAAGTTGGTACATTAATATTTAAAAAATAAAAAAAGGAACTGTACTTCATAAATGAAAGGGCAAGATGTTGAAATAGTGTAATGCTTAATTTGACAACTGTGTTTATGATTTATTATCTAGTAAATGTCTTTAGTACTTTTTTTAATCATACCGCAAAAAGATACTTGAGCATTTTGTTAATTAATGTGAACAAGGCTTTGTTCTTCTGTATTTGGATAATCGTGCAGGTATTAGGAAGGTTCTGTTCTTTCTTAAACATTCTGAAAATTATTAATATTTTCTGTAGAAAAAGCTTAGTGTGATCCTCATTAAACAGAAGCTTTAATATTAGACCATGCATGGATTAATAAACCTGTATCATTTGCTCTGCGGTTGCTGCTTTTGTGTGTCCTTTCCCAAGGTAGTTCTGAACATGTCCCTTTCTGAAAAGGATAAGCTGGTTTGTATTTATGGCAATCTAAGTTGTGCATGTGGGCTGTTGCAATAGGATCGCAAAATAGAGTAGAGTAATTCAGCCTGAGCTCTTTGACAAGTGTTTGTAGACATGACTTAAAGCACAGCAGTTCTTCAAACAAAAGAGAGAACTATTTTACAGTCCATCAGCTAAGTTGGAATAGTAGTTCCTCAAAGAGTGTTTTAAGTGCAAAGCAGCTATTTGTAATTGAAGAGTGTAGCCTGAGGGCTTTCACATACACCGGAGTATAATCAGTTACTAGGCAGAGCCTGAGAAGGATAACTTGATGCCTTGGTCACTCCTTGCTGGTAAGGTTTCATTCTAGGGGGGGAGGGTGAAGATCTAGAACCTTGAATGTAAAGATCATTATAGAATAATAGCAATTCTGTGACAGTTTTTCAGTGGGCTATTTTTTCTTTGTTATTAGTAGCTTACTTGCTTTGTGGGCTGAATTCAAGTGTTCTTTTTGAGAAGGATTTTGCAATGAACTCCTTGGTCAAATGCTTTTTTTGTAACGTACTAACTTGCAATATAAATCAACAGCTCGGAACCATGTATCTCCATATGATGCCTTCAATATTTTTTTTTTTCTTAGAGAAATATGTGAACTAGGAGTGGGTTTTTTTGTTTGGTTGGGTTTTTTTAAACCTTCTGTCAAGAAGGGAAAACGTGAAATCAGGAAGTCTTAACTTCTTAACATGGAAACTGAAGACTTAAACTGCTAAATCATTTACCTGGTATATGATACATATATTTTTGGCAAAATATCTTAATTGCTTCAGCAGACTGTCCCTTTATGGATACAGTATTCTCATCTTCATCATATTATCTTTAATTAGCTTGTGTATTCTGCTGTTTCTTACTTATGTCACTTAAAAAGTTTGTCTTTCACTATCTTTCTATGCAGGTCATCCACACCTGGAGTACTTTCTATATATTTTGCCACTGTTATGTATTTTGGGGCAGGAATCCCAATTCTGTGTCAAAATTGCTTATCAAAATTGCTTTTTCCTTGGGAAAAATTAGAATATTCTGCTTCTGCTAATATGGTTTCTTCCATCTTTTAGTGTAAGGAGTTTGTTTGCTGTTGCTTGTATATTGAGAAAACTTTGTGGTGGAGGACAGTAGAGAGGCTGACTTGCTGGAATCTCCCCTTTTCTTGTTATGATTACATTTGAGAGGAATCTAAAGAATGAGAAAGACGAGTGAGGTTGCAGATAGGGTGAGGTAAATGGCATACCTAACTCAACTCCCCCATGTTTTTCTTCTACATAAGAGGTTCCAAGGGAGGGAGAAAGAAGTTAGAGCAGGGAATTAAAGATAAAAATTAAGTTCCATGAGAGAGGAAGACTATTACCTGGTTAGGGATGTGAAAGTGTACTGTTCCCCTGTAACTGTGATTTTTGGGGAGACAACTTGGTTACCCACAGCTATCGTACACGCTATGTATTTTCAGACTTGAACCCTGATGAGAAATGAAAAGAACAAGCTTCCTCTTTTAAAGCAAAACTGCTCTACTTACTATTGAAATCCTCCTTGCCTTCCAACATCACTTCTGGAGGGGGGGGGGAAAGAACTTCCTCCTCCTGACATCCTTCTCAGCAGGGTGAGCCAGTAAGAGCAAAACTCAATATACTGTGGTTTTCTCTGCCTCCTGACCAGGTCAATTTTGTGTTCACAGTAAATCTGACATGATGTAGAGACTGTGCCCTCCATAAGAAACATGATGCTGATGCAGTGTGAGACCTTGTTGGACCACTGTCTAACCTTAGGATATAAAAGGAAAGCTTGGAGTGGTTGCTCTTGTAGGTTACAGATTTGGCAAATGATTGTGGAGAAACAGGAATGTTCTTCTTGGCCATGGCCATGAAGGGACATAACCTGCTTTGGTCAAGTTGGAACTCAGACTGCTTGTTTCCACAGCCACAAAGCACGACACATTCCCCTCACCCCCCGATATTACTATACCAAACATATTGCATCTATAGAAGAATTAATAAAGAATTAGCCATATCAATGGTGTCTTTCACTGAGATTTGGTTAGCTGGCTATCCTTGCAAACCTTAGGAAGCCCTTGAAGCTGATTGTTCGCTTGAGCTTCTGCCGGTGCTTTTTTTCTGAGGATACTGTAGCGGGGGGGTGGGGGAGGTGTCATTCCTGTTACCATCGGTATGAAAATTTTACTTTCATCTGAAAATAGTTTATATGGTCCTAAGATTAATAGATTAAAGTTTTAAAAGTAGAAAGAATTGTTTCCAGTTCACATTGTGTTTGCTAATAGCTAATATTTGACCGCTTTCTACCTTTTCCCGTTTGCTGTGACAGCACTGGTCTAAAAGGGAGTTTACCATTTCTACATCTTCAAGAAGGTGTTTATATGCTTTTTCAACCATAAAAAGAGAAAGGAGATCTGAATGTCATCTGGTCTAAGTAGCAAAACTGGATTCATCTGATAAGACCAGTGTCGTGGTTTAACCCCAGCCAGCACCCAAGCATCACGCAACTGCTCACTCACTCCCCACCCCCACCCCCCCCCCCAGTGGGATGGGGAGAAAATTGGGAAAAGAAGTAAAACTCGTGGGTTGAGATAAGAACGGTTTAATAGAACAGAAAAGAAGAAACTAATAATGATAAGACTAATAAAATGACAACAGTAGTAATAAAAGGATTGGAATTTACAAATGATGCACAGGGCAATTGCTCACCACCCGCTGACCAACACCCAGCTAGTCCCCAAGCCGCGATTCCCCGCCCCCACTTCCCAGTTCCTATACTAAATGGGATGTCACATGGTATGGAATACACCGTTGGCCAGTTTGGGTCAGGTGCCCTGGCTGTGTCCTGTGCCAGCTTTTTGTGCCCCTCCAGCTTTCTCACTGGCTGGGCATGAGAAGCTGAAAAATCCTTGACTATAGTCTAAACACTACTGAGCAACAACTGAAAACATCAGTGTTATCGCATACTGAACTCAAAACATAGCACTGTACCAGCTACTAGGAAGACGGTTAACTCTATCCCAGCTGAAACCAGGACAACCAGTCTACCTCAAACTTCTTGAGCTGTATCTCACCTACTGGTTGTACCTACTGAGTCTAACACATGTTGCTTCCAGGAACAGTGTGCTTGCTTTCCATAACACCTCTGTGAGGAGGCACGTGGGGCAGTTTGTCTGTCTAACAAAGCATTTCTCAATCTAATAAACTGTTGCAATTTGATTCACTAACTTGCATTTACCACTCTGCTGTCTATCATTAAGAGCTAACTCAAATCTTAGCAAGTGCAGGATAAGTCCTGGCAACAAGTGAACTACTCCTGCTGATCATCCAATGTATAATTAGTAATCTTTTTAATTCTAAGAAGCTTAGGATAAGATTTCTAATACAATCTAAAGATGAACACAATTCTGAAAGCTTTTAAAATTTACTTTTAAAAATTTCTTTCTTGAAATAGTAGTGAATGAGGTGTAAAGTGATTACAGAATAATTGTATGCAAATAATCTGTTGATTTTGGCCTAGAGTTGTTCCTTCCAAAATGAAGAAATTCAAATCTAGGAGACCTTCTCCTAAAAGATATTTTGAAGTTGAGTGTTTCAGATCAATGATTTTTTTAATAATGGAAGCATTCAAGCACCAGTTACAGTTTATTTGCAGAAATTGGTGTTGAAGTTTGGAATTGGCTTTTGTTTAAGTAAGAATTGTGGTGGTACTGGTAGAGTTGGGTAGAAAGGCTTGACTTTATGAAGTGGTCCTGGTATTTTGATTTGTGGTCTTAGCCATGATACCTAAATTCCGTTTAGTTGCATTACAGTAAAGAAATGAGCTTTCAGGGATAGAGGTGCATTTTGAAGTGTTGTATAATAAGGACCAAAAGGAAGAATTAAGCTAAATGGCTATTTCTCCCCCTTGCCAGTAGAGAAGTCTGGCTAGTCTTTATGCAGCTGTGTGTTTGAGTCAATTCTTACACAAAAACTTAGGCAATTGACTTAGAATTCTAACTATTTTTCTGCCAAGGAAATTGTAATTGGAATATCTGGATATTACTTTTGCAGTTGTGCCGTAAGTTGTTTTATGTGGTGGCTATACACCCGGAGCTCCAGATTTCTCATGGAGTAATTTCAAGCTAGAGTGCTTGGTGTTGCAATCCTGAGGAAGACTTAAGGACTCACAACAAAAGAATTTGCGGTTTTTGGTTCAGCTCAGTCCTGTGGTAGCACAACAGATGATAACTCTTGAAGCATAAATTCAGCCTCTTGTCTTCATAGACTGTCATCTCACTCTGTATACACAATGCTTTGAAAATCTACTTTCAGATCTTTTTCACTGTCCAAGTAGCACCTTAAGGGTTAAGTACAGAAAAGTGATTTGTAAAACCTTGCTTTGCCATTTTGTTTAAACCTGGTATTTTATGTAATCAATATCGTATATATATATATATGAAAAAGTAATATTCTAGAAAAAGTATTTGTGGGAATTAAAAGAGTGGAAGTAGATGGGATTGGTTGACTGAAAATGAGGTGTGCATCAAAAGACTTTTCAAAAGCACATTAACCGTGAAGTTTGCAAATGTTTTATTTGATGAAAAGAGTCTCTTTATGACATGCATGAAAATTAGACACGTACCTAGTGGGTTTTTTTGTTGGGTTTGTTTTCTTATGTTAAAATAGTGTTCAGCTGCTGTGAGAATGTTTAAAGTTGGTTTTGATAGTCTAGTAGCAACCACCTGGGTCTAGACATCTGGACTGGTCAATTAACTTGGATTGCCAAGCTTGAGTACAATACAAGGGAGAAGTAAGTCCTGATTATTTTATAATATTGAGACCTATGACAGTTGGAATATCTGGTGATCCTGTTGCCCACTTTTTCATGGATGTAGTAATGATTGAGATTCTAGTGTCTGATAATGTGAATAATTACTGGATGACAGTGATGAAGGCTATTGTATTTTCTGCATAATAGTGTTTAGAGCTTTTGCAGGTCTAAACCTCTATTTAAAGGAACAGGATTGGGTGGTGAAGGCAAACTTCTGAAATGTGAAAAAGGTGGCCAGATGTTAATTCATTATTTGTCCATTTGATCTTGTTTATGTATATTACTGCTGAATCTGGCTAAAAACTGATAAGGCATAGCATTTTGCAGGTAACTGTTCAAAGTATTTATTTATCAAGAGTCAGGAGGAAGGGGGAAAGGAAAGCGATTCTTTTTGGGTACTAAGCAGTTTTGAAACTCATGTTTGCTTTATGGTCATCTCTTCCTTTTCCCTTTCCCCAAGCTCAGCTCTTCTGTCTATGGTAAAACTGAATGTGTTGTCCTGTCATTCTTCTATTTAGTATTTGGGAGTGGAGGTTTTGAAGAAAAAAATAGCATGAGTTGGAACTAACAATGTAGATGTAGCTTATAGCGATTATTCAGTGCATTTATTACATGCAGAGTCTTAGACTAGTTTTCTTTCCTTATATTGCCGTGACTTATGAGAACATTTTTGCTGTGTGTAAATCTTGTGAATCTCTAGACATTGTCATAGTTAACACGTTTAGTTTGATTAGGTCAAATTGTTCTGTGCAGCAGCTGGGGTTTAGGTAATCCATATGTCCCGTACAAGGTTAGATAGCCCCTGTTTGAGAACAATATAGGCAGTAGTCCTGCCATTGCTTTGTCTCCTAGAAAACAGTGATTCTTGTTCTCCAAGACTTTTCCCTGGAATGAGGTGGATATGCTAAATACATACAGTTGCTTCCTTTTTGTTTTTGAAAAGGGATAGCGTTGACCTGATGGTCTAAATGAGGGAATATCAAGTAGGACTTGCTTTCCTCTGCTTCTGTTTTTGGAATATGAACTTATGTATGGAATATATAGGTCTCAAATTTGCTGGGTATTTCAGAGATGTTAAAACTTTCTGAACCCTTCCCACTTTCCTAAATTTTCATTTGGAAAACCTGATACACAGCAGAAATTCACATGCCACTGTGATGGGGCTGACTCATACTAACATTAATTGTTACATCCCATTTTCAACTGTGTCAACAAACTTCCCTAGGTGTGAAATTAAGACTGGGTGACTAGTGTCCTGTTTTTAAGCAGGACCTTGGCTTAATGAAGAAATAAGGGGATGTTCTCCACCTGTGTTGTGTAGATAACTGAGCTACACAAATACAGCAGCTCCCTGAATTAATGAACTGGGAATTTTACAATCTGATCTATTTAAGTCTGACTTTAATCTGAACATCTTTTGTATGCATATCAATGTGGGTGGGGTTTTTTTGCTTTGGTAAGCTCTTGAGCTTGTTGCTGTTTGCACCATAGGTATTTGAATGTTTCCTCTCCCCCCATGCTATCAAAGACTCATAAGCTGTTTCTAGGAATCTATTCTGCAGGTCTGTTTCTGTACTGATGCTCTTCTTGACATCGCTTCTCAGTCTGTTGCTTTTAGGATACTGCTAGGGATCTGTTCTCTAGGTCCATTTCTGTGCTGATGCATGGATCTTCTGTCAAGCTGTTCTTCAGTTTTGTTTTCTTATATATGTCAGATCTGAAACTTTAAGTTAGGTAAAGCTGGCTTTCATTCTCACTCTAGGCAAAGATACCATGCTGGGATCAAATGAGTTTTATTCATAATGGATATTAGGATTCCTTTGTGAGAGGAAAGAGCAGAAATTCTGTAATGCAACGTTCCTGAGCCATGTTGAACAGACTATCTTGGATTATAAGAGTAGCTGCAATCTTATCCTAGCAAGATTGTGCACAGTAAAAAGCACTCTTTCCATGTGATGACTCATTCCTGATTCTAGGGCTGTTTCTGGCCTTTAAGTGATTTGTGCAGTCAAACATGTTTCAATGTTACTGTCATTTCTTATCTGAATGCTAAGTAAAATGTGCCACAGATGATGTTTAATGTAACGACAGAATGTGTTCAGGTAGCTTGCTTACTTGCCTCTTACTTTTCCAGGAGTTGTTTTGAGCTACTGCTTTCAATTCCTGAAAGTGAATTGCCGCATGAGGTGTGGTTAGGATTCCATCAGTCCATACAGGTAAGTGTTCTGAATTTCTTTTTTCCAATTTGCATATTAAAAAAAAAAAAAAGGCAGCTGTTATGCTCCTTTTCTTCTACCCTTGCCCTGAATTCCGCCTGTCCTGTATTGCTGTTATCTAGGCAGCAAGAATTTCTGAGCAGCAAAAGACTAACTGCAAGAGTGATATTGGCAGCCCTAGGCCCAACAGCAGATTTATGACTACATAATCAATGGCAACTGCAGCAAGAGAACTGTAGCAAATCTTGATCTATCTAATGGTTTGTGTGAGAGTAAGACTGAGTTAGATGGAGTGATGTAACAGCTCTGAAGTATTACTTTGAAGGTGACTTAAAAAGCTTTTGTGGAGATCTGAGTGGTAAGTTAGTGTCGATTCCTGATTTGAGAGGGATGAAAATAGTAGGACAGGTCTTTAGTCCAGGTGGTTTCTAGAAGTGTTTCTTCTGAGGTGGTGCTGAAACAAGCTCATAATACTACTACTCCTACACTCAAATGAAGGTGGCTCTTGTAGGCTATGTCGGAGGAAGAGATGTTTTCAAGGTTTTAGTCTGGAGGTAGTACCCAGCTGACTGCAATGACTTGTGTTCTTTGTGGAGCTGAAAGACAGGAGTGGTAGTCTTGCTGTGTTTATACTAATAGACCCTTCCAGGACCAGGGACTGATCTGTTGCTATTGCCTGTTCTGGCTTTAACTGTGACTGATGAAGTTGGAAGCTAGTATCAGTTATAAGTTACTGAAGTAAAGACTTTGGCTGGATGTAGTTGGAAGTAAGTGAACTTAGACCTTGCAGCTGTCCTTGTGCAGACCTTGCCACAAGTCCTTATACCTCTGTGACTGCGGATTTTGTCAGTCTGTGAGGCTTGGCTGCTGCTGCTGCAGTAGCTCTGAAGATGCAGGTGTAGAGGTTCTGAAGGAGTTTCTACTTTTGTTTCACTCGCAGTCAGGGAAATTGCAGGTGCGGAAACTCTTCAGTAGACTGAAGGTGAATAAACCTGGCACTTTATACTGAGAGAAACAGACTAGTAGAGCTTTGTAGTCCTCCTAGTAGTGGTAGGGACAGAGGTGGTCTGTGGCTGGTGACTTCAGGTGTGGACAGACCTCTTTTTTCCTGAAATATCATGGAATACTTACTATCATAGCAACCCTAAAAACAGTTGGGTGTGGCATGTACTTGGTAATAGAAAGAAGTGCAGTAGGTACATTTTAGATCCTATGGTCTTAGTGGTGTCAAAGATGTGTCCTTTATTTTGAGTGCTGGTGCATAAGTCCTGTGACTCCCTTAGTGACTACAGCAGATCATAGTGGCCATTGCAGCAACCCAGAACCAAGTTTGAAGGTATATCAGTTTATTTTGACAATACCCAGCTATGCCATCTATTACACACAGTCTGTAACTATTAGCCATGGTGTTGCAGATGCTAGATCTGTGCTCTCAACCCATTCATTTTTGGGGATGCCACAAATAAGGGTGGTCAGCCACAGGTTCATCTTTTGTGTTAGAGCTGATGGAAGAAGTTGAAACTTACTGTTTACAAGGTAGCCCTTAAATTCACTAATCTGGTCTTCCTTGGCCAAGGAGTGAATCATAGAATACCAGGTTGGAAAGGACTTCAAGGATCATCTGGTCCAACCTTTCTTGGCAAAAACACAGTCTAGACAAGATGGCTCAGCACTCTGTCCAGCTGAATCTTAGAAGTGTCCAACGTTGGTGTCGTGGTTTAACCCCAGCCAGCAACTAAGCACCATGCAGCTGCTCACTCACTTCCCCCCCCCACCCAGTGGGATGGGGGAGAAAATCAGGAAAAGAAGTAAAACTCCTGGGTTGAGATAAGAACGATTTAATAGAACAGAAAAGAAGAAACTAATAATGATAATGATAACACTAATAAAATGACAACAGTAGTAATAAAAGG